GGGGGTTGGGGATCCACCACTGGGGAGGTTGTGGATGGGTGGGTGTGGGTGAAATAGGTGGGGAAAGGGGGGAGGGATGGGTTTTGGTGGGTGGGACTCGTTGGGTGTGGCCGGTGGGTGTAGCAGTGACGGGATGTGGCCCAGGGGGTGTGCACGGTGGGGGCCATCCTGTGCCCGAGTGTGGTGGGCAGGGTGGAGCGGGCAGGGCTGGCTGGAGGGGTCAGTGGGTACCCAGTGACCCCAGTGAGGGGACCATCCTGCTGCAGTTCTTGTACCTGGGAGAGCGTGGGGCTGGCTGGGTGGGGTCAGTGACAACAAGTGACGGGTGTGGGTGTGTCCCAGCTGGCCTGCACAGTGTGGGTGGGCTCAGTGACACCCAGTGACAGGATGGGGGGACCATCCTGCTGCAGTTCCTGTATCTGGGGGTGGGTGGGATGGGTGGGTCGGGTCAGTGGCACCCAGTGAGGGGGTGTGGTGGCCCATCTGCTGGCCATCCTGGGTGGGTGGGCTCCGTGACACCCAGTGACGGGGGTGGGGGTGTCCCAGCTGGCCTGCACGGTGGTGGCCATCCTGCTGCAGTTCCTGTACCTGGGGGCGGTGGGCTGGGGGCTGCTGGAGGCCCTTCACCTGTACCGGCGCCGCAGCGAGCCCCGCAGCGTGGACAGGGGGCCCATGCGCTTCTACCACGTGCTGGGCTGGGGGCTGCCTGCCTTCATCACCGGTGAGCCCCGCCCCCCACCTTAACCCCGCCCCTGGCCCCGCCCCCACCCCACAGCCCACCTGGTGCCAGGTGCCCACCTGGGTAAACGCCTTCTGGTGGCCCCGCCCCCTTCTCAGCAGTGGCCCCGCCCCCTTGAGCCCCCTCCCCCGATCAGATTGATCTCATTTCCAAGTGTAGCCCTGCCCCCAGGATATAGCCCCTCCCCCAGGTGCATCTTGCCCAGCATAGCCACGCCCCTGGGTATAGCCATGCCCCCAATAGGATAATCCCACCCAATCTAGAATAACTCCGCCCCCAATAGGGAATAGCCCCACCCAATCCAGAATAGCCACACCCCCAATCTGTAATAGCCCTGCCCCCATTTCAGAATAGCCCCACCCAGTCCAGAATAACCCGACTCCAATGCAGAGTAGGCACACCCACTTTGGAATAGCCCCACCCCAACCCAGAATAGCCCCACCCAATCCCGAATTGCACCTCCCCAATCCAGAATAGCCCCCAGTGCCCCCCTGCCTCCCATGGGTCCCCTCCATGCCCCCAAAGCCCCCCATGGGTGCTGCCTTGTCCCCAATGTCCCCCAAAGCCCCCCATGGGTCCCCTCTGTACCCCCAAAGCCCCTCATGGGCACCCCCTTGTCCCCAGCACCCCCCTGCCCTCAAAACCCCACTCCGCGTGGCCCCGCTCCCGAAGCAGCCCCACCCCGACCTTACCCCCTCACCTGCCCCACCCATGCCCCATTTAGCCCCGCCCCCTCTCAGCCCCGCCCCTGCGCCCCCTTTTGCAGGCCTGGCCGTGGGGTTGGACCCCGAGGGTTATGGGACCCCCGAGTTCTGCTGGCTGGCCCTGCATGACCCCCTCGTGTGGAGTCTGGCCGGTCCCGCCGCTGCCGCCCTCGCCGTGAGTGGGAGCCGGGGGGCGAGGGGGGCAGGGGAGACCCCCACCCAGCCGCCCTACTCACCCCCCCTCGCCCCCAGGTCGGCATCTTCTTCCTGCTGCTGGCGGGCAGGGCCGCGTGTGCCACCCCACAGGGCTTCCAGAAGAAGGGCTCAGCGTGAGTGCCCCAAGGGGGCTCCCACGGGGGGTTGGGGTGGGCCACCGGGGGCAGGGGGCACCCACGGGGGGCTGGGGGCACCCATGAGGGGCAGGGTCACTCACTGGGGGCAGGGGGCACCCACGGGGGGCTGGGGGCACAGCAGGCAGGGGGGGCATTGGGGGCAGGGAGGCATCTGTGGGATGTATGGGGGGCACCTATGGGGGACAGGGGGGCATGGGGGGCATTGGGGGCATGGAGGACACCCATAGGGGGCAGCGGGGCACAGGGGGCAGGGGGAGAACCCATGGGGGGCACTGGGGGCAGAGTGGGACAAGAGGGCACTGGTGGAGGGTATTGGGGGCATTGGGGGCACTGAGGGGGGCAGGGAGGCACTGGGGACAAGGGGACACTGGGGGGGGTAGCAGGGGGACCCATGGGGGGTAAGGGGGCATTTGGGGCAGGGCAATATTGGGGGCTTTAATGCCCAAGGAGGGCAGGGGGTTGGGGGAGGTTGGGACATCTGTGGGGTCAGGGGGGCACAGGACACCCGTGGGGGGGGCGGGGGGGCACTGGGGGCAGGGGGGTATGGGGTGCTGGGCTACCTGTGGAGGGTGGGGGGGCACAGGGTGTTGGGACACCCACGGGGGGGGAGGTACGGGGGGCTGTGACATGGGGTGACACTGGGGTGACAGTGGGGTGCTCAGGTTGGGGGTGTCACAGTGGCCGTGCTGCTGCTGTGGGTGCTGTTGGGGCGCTGTTGGGTGGCACTGGGGTGGCACTGGGTTGGCACTTGGGTGCCAGGTCAGGGGTCCACACAGCAGCCATGCTGGTGGTGTGGGTGACACTGGGGTGACACTGGAGTGCTGTTGGGTGACACTGGGGCGCCGTTGGGGTGCCAGGTCGGGGGTCCGCACGGCGGCCGTGCTCCTGGCTGTGCCCAGCCTGGCCTGGCTGCTGGCCCTGCTGTCGGTGAACAGTGATGCCCTGCTGTGCCACTACCTGTTTGCTGCCTCCAACTGCCTCCAGGTCAGCGGGCACCCGCATCGCTCCCTGGGACCCCTGAAAGCACAGAGCCCCCACCCTGGAACCCCCTGAGCCCACCCTGGGACCCCCGGAGAGCCCACCCCAGGGACCCCCAGGGACCCCCATAGAGCTGAGAACCTCCACTCCTGAGACCTCCAGAGTCCACCACCCCTGGGACCCCCAGAGTCCACCCTGGGACCCCCAGAGAGCCCTGGCACCTCCCCTCCAGAGCCCACAGAGTCCCAAACCCATTTAGGGGGCACCAGTGGGCACGGGGGGGGTCCCTCGCCGTATCCAGCGTGCCCGTGGGGGGCACCCAGTGTGTGTGTGGGTCCCTTCACCCAGTTTGGGGTGCCAAAGGGGTGCCCCCCACGTCTCTGGGAGCCCCCTCAGGTGGCACTGGGGTCCCCCACGAGGCTGTCCGACCCCTCCCCTGTGCCCCCCATGCCCATGTGCCCCCCCGTGTGCCCAGGGGCCCCTCATGTTCCTGTCCTGTGTGGTGCTGAGCAAGGAGGTGCGGAGGAGCCTCCGCCTGAGCTGTGCCCGCCGCCACCACCCCCCACTGGCCACCAAGGCCACCCTGACACCCGTGAGTGCCGGGGGGGATGGGGAGGGGCATGGGAGAGGGCACGGGGGGCTCGGGGCAGCCCCTGTGATGTCCCTGTCCCCGTGCCAGCCCCCTGGGAAACACGGGGGGCTGGGGGGGCTGGGGGCACCCCTGGCACAGCTGTGACGTCCCTGTCCCCGTGCCAGCCCCCCGGGGGTTGCTGGGGGTGCCGAGGGGTCTTGAGATAGTTCCTGGAACGACTGTGTCATCCCTCTCCCTGGCACGGGTGGGCTGGGCAGTCCCGTTCTGGACTGTGGCATCCCTGTGCCCGTGCCAGACCCCCTGAGGGGAGAGGGGACTTGGGGGGGCTGGGGGCAGCCCCTGGCATGGCTGTGTCATCCCTGTCTCTGGCATGGGGGGCTCGGAGGGGCTTGGGGTAGCCCCTGGCAGGGCTGTGATGTCCCTATCCCCGTGCCAGCCCCCCGGGGGACAGAGGGGCGCTCGGGGCACCCCTGGCACAGCTGTGATGCCCCTGTCCCATTTCCAGCCCCCCGGGGGGCTCGGGGGGGCTCGGGGCAGCCCGGCCGTGACTTCCCTGTGCCCGTGCCAGGCGTATGGCGGGGACAGCACGTACGTGGCAGGGCCGCTGTGCCCCCCCCCCGGGCGGGGGGTCCTCGGGGTCCCTGCACAGCACAGCCCGGTCAGGCAAGAGCCATCACAGCTACATCCCATTCGTCAGGAGGTGCGGGCATGGCGGGCACCGCGCACGGCACGGGGGGGACAAGGGGGGTGGCACTGATGTGGTGGGATGGCGAGGTGGTGGCAGGGTGCTGGCAGGTGATGGGGGAGTGGGGTGACATGGCCCTGGGGTGTTGGGGTGAGAGGGTGAGGGGGTGGTGGGGTGGTGGCAGGTTGGGGGTGTGACATGGCACTGCAGTGGCAGGGTGGCAGGGTGGTGGCAGGATGGCACGGCTCGGGGGTGGGGGGGGGGGAGGGAGTGGGGGGGGGGGGGGGACATGACACTGGGCATGGAGGCTGGCAGGGTCATGGGGTGGTGGGGGGGGTTATGGGGTTGGTGGGGGCACGGCATTGGGGTGGCAGGTCATGGGTTGGTAGAGCGGTGGGTTAAGCAGTTGGTGGGTTGGGGGCACTGCACTGGGCTGGAGGGGTGGCACAGGGATGGGGTGGTGGGATGGCAGTGGGTTTGGGGTCCCAGCAGGTGTCTGGCAGTGGTTTTGGGGTCCCAGGGGGGTGTCGGTGGTGTTGGGGTGTCTGTCGGTATTTTTGGGGTTCCGGGGGCAGTCTATCAGTGGTTTTGGGCCCCGGGGGGTGCCAGGCACTGACACTGCCGTGCCCCCCCCCAGGGAGGACTCGGGGCTGGCGGGCAGCCCGGGGCCGCTGCCCGAGCCCGGGGGGCTCTTCCTCGACGCGCAGGAGCAGCCCGAGGGTAACGACCCCCACCCTTGGGGGGGCACGGGGGGTGTCCCCGGGCCCCCCCTGAGCCATGACCCCTCCAGAGCACGACACGGACTCGGACAGTGACCTATCCCTGGACGACCCGAGCGGCTCCTACGGCTCCACCCACTCGTCGGACAGCGACGACGAGCCCCCCCCCGGCTGGGACCCCCTGCCTGGGGCTCCCTCGGGCCCTCCCGGCCCCGGTAACGGCCCCCTAACAGCCCGCTAGGGATGGGGGGACCCTTGACCTGGCCGGTGCTGGGGGGGGGCACCCAGTGGGTTTGGGGAGGGTCCCTGATCCTGGCTCGGTGTTGCTGGGGGGCACCCAGTGGGTACAGTGGGTGTGGGGAGAGTCTCTCGTCCAGTCTGGGGTGCTGAGGGGGGGCACCCAGTGGGTTTGGGGGGACCCTGGCCCTGGCTCGGTGCTGCTGGGGGGCACCCACGGGGGGCCGGGGGGTCGTGGCCCTGCCCATCCCACCAACCCCCTGCCTGCAGGTGCCGCCCTGGTGCCCCCGGGGTGCCCGTACTGGCCGGGGGAGTTCGTGACGACGGCGAGCGAGAGCGAGGGCGTGGCGGGCACCGAGGGGCTGCGGGTGCAGCCGGCGGGGGGGGCGGGGGGACCCCCCCGGGGAGACCCCCTCAGGCCCAACGGGGAGGCCCTGCCCAGGGAACCCCTGCTGCTGCCCCTGCCCCACCCACACAAAGGTATGGGCTCGAGGGTGCCCGGTGGGTGCCAGGGTTCTTTTTGGGTGCCCATCCAGTGCCAGAGGTCCTTTTGGACACTCCTTGGGTGCCAAGGTGCCCATTGGATACCCTTTGGGTGTGAGAGTTCCCTTTGGGCACCCACTGGGTGCCAACGTGGCCATTGAGCACCCTTTGGGTGCCAGGGGGTGCGTATGGGATGGGTACCCTCCAAACCTGCCGGGTGATGCCCCCTCCCTTGCAGGGATCCTGAAGAAGAAGTGCCTGCCCCCCATCAGCGAGCGGGGGGGCAGTGCCCAGCGCCCCGGGCCCCCCCCGCCACCCCCTGCGGGCACGGCCGCCTCGTCAGGCAGTGACGGGGGTGCCCCCCCCGGCCCCCCGGGCCCGGCAGAGCCTTGAGGAGCAGCTGAGCGGCCTCACCCCCATCGCCATGAGCATCCGCGCGGGCACCGCTGATGAGGACTCCTCCGGCTCTGAGTGAGTGCCAGCGTGTGCCCGGGGTGCTCCTGGGTGCCCATTGGGAGTCCTTGGGGTGCCTGGGTTGGTTTTGGGTGTCTGTGGTGTGCCAGGGTGGTTGTTGGGTGCCCATGGGGTGCCACGGTACCTGTCAAGTGCCAGGACTCCCATTGGGTGCCAGGGTGTCCAAGAGGTGCCCTTTGGGAGTCCATCAGGTGTGAGGGTGGCTGTTGGGTGCCCATCGGGGGGGTCTTTGGCTGCCAGGGTTACCTTTGGGCACCCACTGGGTGCGAGGGTGATTTTTGGGTGCCCATCAGGTGCCAGGGATCCCACTGGGTGCCCATTGGGTGCCACGTTGCCCAAGAGGCGCCCTTTGGGTGCCAGGGTTGCCTTTGGGCACCCACTGGGTTCAAGGGTACCCATGGGGTGCCCATGGGGTGTTCTTTGGGTGCCCATCAGGTTTAAGGGTGGCTGTTGGGTGCCCATTGACCATTGGGTGCCCGTTGGATATTGGGGTGCCCCCCCGCGTGCCCCCCAGGTGCCCAGTGGGCGTTGGGCTGTCCATTGAGTGTGAAGGTGCCCACTGGGTGTTGGGGTTCCATTGGATGTTGGGGTGCCTGTTGGGTGTTGGGGCACCCCTTGGGGTGCCCACTGGGTGTCTGCTGGGTGTTGGGGTGCCCATTGGATGTCAGGCTGTCCATTGAGTGCCCGTTATGTGTTGGGCACCCCTTGGGGTGCCCACTGAGTGTTGGGGTGTCCATTGGATATTGGGGTGTCCATTGGGTGTCGGGGTGTCCATTGGGCATTGGGGTGTCTACTGGGTCCCCACTGGATATTGGGGTGTCTGTTGGGTGTTGGGGTGTCCATTGGGTCCCCACTGGATATTGGGGTGCCCATTAGGTGCCTGTTGGGTGTTGGGGCATCCCTTGGGGTGCCTATTGGGTGTTGAGGTGCCTGTTGGGTGTTGGGGTGCCTGCTGGGTGTCGGGGTGCTCATTAGGTGCCTGTTGGGTGTTGGGGCATCCCTTGGGGTGCCCGTTGGGTATCTTTGGGGTGTCCATTGGGTATTAGGGTGCCTGCCAGGTGCCCACTGGATATTGGGGTGTCCACTGGGTGCCCATTGGGTGTTGGGGTGTCCACTGGGTGCCTACTGGATATTGGGGTGCCCATTGGGTGCCTGTTGGGTGCCTGTTAGACACCCGCTGCCCCTCCTTGGTGGATGGGGGTGCCCAGGGGG